GGGGCGGGGGCGGGGCGGTGGACAGTGAGCAAAAAAACAAATTTAACACTCACTGATGGCAGTTAGTGCCAGGAAGGAAATAGGTGCTGTGATAGAGGGCGGCTGCCAGTTTAGAGAGGATGGTCAGGAAGACCTTTGTGAGGAAGAGCCAAAGGGAAGACCAGAAACCAAGCACCTAAGGCCTTAGTACTCCGAACTGACTGGGAAGGGGCGAGTGGGGACCAGGTCATGCAGGGACTCACAGATCGGGCTCTGGTGAGTTTGGTTCCATTTACACTGACTCAGTTGGAGAACAGAAGCACTCCCATTCCTCTGAATTCTCCACGCCTCACTGAGAGCCTGGCAGATGATAGTTGCTCAATAAGTGTTCACTGAACGCAGGGTTGGTTGAAGTCAGGATGACAGCGTGCACAGAGCAGTGGGTGTGGGAGCAGGAGCCCTCATCCCGGTCCTTCCTTCTCATCCATGGCATGAGACCCACAGGAGGGACAGATCTCAGCAGCGGTCTGTTTGTAATTAAACTTTATTTTGAGTTAATTGTAGATTCACATGTAGTGGAAAGAAAGAAGTAACACAGAGAGATCCTGTGTCCCCTTCACCCAACAAGATTCTAGTACACTTTCACAAACCAGGATACTGACACTGCACCATCAGGGTACAGAACATCAGAACATTTCCATCACGGTGAGGGTCCCTTATGTTGTCCTTCTGTTATCACGCCCACTCACTCCCTCCCCCACAGCCCGCTCCCACTAATCTGTTCTCCATTTTTGTAATTTTGTTATGTCAAGAATGTTGTATACATGGAATCATGGAGTATACGGCCCTTTGGATTTGGCTTTTTTCACTCTGTAATTTCCTGGAGATTTATCCACATTGTTGCACATATCAATAGTTCTTTTTTGTTGCTGAGTAGTATTTCATGGTATGGGTGTACCACAGTTTAACCATTCACCCATTGAAAGACACATGGGTTGCTTCAAGATTTTGGCTATTACAAATAAAGCTGCTCTGAACATTCATGTGCAGGTTTTTGTGTGAATATGTTTCATTTCTCTGGATAAATTGCCCAGGAGTACAATTTCTGGGTCATATCATGTGGTAGCTACCTGTTCAGTTTTTACGAGAAAGTGCCAAACTGTTTCCCAGAGTGGCTGTACAATAGCTTATTTTTGTTTGTTCTTTTAAGTAGCTGAACAATTGAAGGGAGGACTCTTCTGCAGGAAGGACCTTGGTATATAAAGCCCATGTAGAGCATGCTGCTCTGGTACAAGCTGGGGCTGGGGCTCTACCTGCTTACCAAGAGCCCAGGTTAAGCTAGGTCTTTCCAGCCCCTAGATTCTCCTTGCTTGCTAAAAGCAGCAGAAGAGACGAGAGCATTTCTACTACAGTAATTTTGGGGACAGTCCCAGCTTTTATCATATAGTGTTGAACTAGAGGCTTAATTTTCCATCGTAATTTCAATCCTTTCATTTTAAGCTGAGCTTAATCTTAGAGCCCTTGGACCCAGCCCTTGTGTGTCTGAGAGATACAGACTATGTGTCTGCTAAATAGAGCCCTTCTGCTTGGTGGTTAGGGATCTGCTAATTGAGGCATTGATTCAAGGGCTTTTTTCTTTGTTCTCTTCACCAAAGTTTCCACTGTGTGGGGGGTGAGGAGTGGGCGGGTGGGAGGGGGGTGGAGTTGCAGGCACGTGCGTACTGAGAAGTATGATACAAGAGCAATAAGTGGGTCTGACAATAAATGGATATGACTGGCAGCACAACTAGGAATCTATACCTGAATTATACAGAGGAAGGAAGTAGCAGCGAAAATATACTGGGTGGGGTGGCAGAAAATATTAAGGGGAAAATGAGGTGAATGGGGTGGGGTCAAAGAAGAGCTACTTAAAGAGAAGCATGGGCACATGCTGGGTAAGGAATTTTGTGCTGTTGAAACTTAAAATTCAGAAAGTGAGGTGGCTGTGGTAAAGGAAACAGGTGACGAGTGAATGAGAAGGGAGCTAGGTTAGGGTGTGTTTGTGTTTTGTGGTTTTTTCTTTTAACATACTTAGGCTAAGTTTCATTGGAAGCATCCTTACCTTTTTCTCAGAAATTCCATTCCCCCTTCTTACCCTAATTAAGAACTGGGCAGCTGGGCTTCTCTATCTACCAAAAAACCTGTCATTGCTTGAAAGGTCAAAACGAAATCCCCCAACTTTGGGTTAGCTTTGCTAATGGACCAATGGCCAGGAGTTGGGGGAACCCAGAAGAGCTGGCAGTGGCTATGGGAGAGGTGGAAGAACTAAGGTCACTTTAAGCAGTTCATTCCCATGTCTCTCAGGTTTGCTTGTTTGATCTCTAAGCCTGATTATGAAGCCTGAATTGACATCATGCCAACTGGTCCCCCTCTGATAAAGGTCATTCTTTAACTTCCTTGGGAACAGCAGAAACTTGTTCTGAAAAAATCTAGCCCAAATTTTTACAGCTGTTTACTTTTGCAAGCTCAATGGTAGTAGCAAGGAATTCAAGTCACAGCGTAGCCACTGAAGTGAAAGTTTTGCACGGAGTCACAGGACAAAGCCCGTCCTGGAAACGTGTTGGAAAGGAAGTCAGCGTCATTCTTCACCATCGGGGTAGAGCTTCCAAATGAGAAATCAGAGGGGCTGGAGTCTGGGCCAGAGTGGCTGTGCAGCATGTGGTGCCAGCCTGGAGACCAGTGAGAAGGAAGCAGATGTGGCGGGCCTCTGGGGGTGGGCATGGGTACCTCCAGGGACTTGCCAGTGACCTAACACACTTTTGGTTCTCATCATCTTGTGTGTTCCTTGTAGACACAGAACGTTCAGCTTAACAAAGAAATGACGCTCGCCAGCAACCGGAGCCTGGCAGAAGGAAACCTTTTGTACCAACCCCAACTGGACACCCTGAAAGCACGTTTGACCCAAAAATACCAGGAACTCCAGGTTCTCTTTGAAGCCTATCAGATAAAGAAGACGAAATTAGGTAACTTTTATAGGGTGATCTTTCGAGAATAAAGAGTTGAAGGAAGGACATGTTTCCAAGCTTTTGCCCTACCAGGAAAGGATTGTTATGGGGATATTTCAGATTAAGACAATGACTCTACTGCAACGAAGAAATAATTGATACATAGAATTGTGTCACCAGCTTAGAAAAGAGACTGAACCACTTTCTAAAGTCAAAACTCCACCATTTCCAAACAGCATAGAAAAAAGGCAGTTTTCTGAATTATGATATTCAACACGTTTTATCCAGTTTTTGCCCTAAAAGTTAATGGTGAATTGACTGGAACATTTTATTTTAATGTCACTCTTTAATTTGTAGCCATTATGAACAGACATAGAAATTGAATGTTGTTGAGAATTCTGAGTTCTTTTGGTACCTTTCAAAGGTGTATTTAAATTCAGAGAAACTGGGTTAAAAATCATCCCCTTCAGTGATGTTTATGGCGATAACCGATGCTGTTTGCTACAAGCCCCCCCACTGTTTCTATAACTTCAGTAAAAATTTACTATAACACACACAAGCTGAACAAAGAAAAGTGGAATGATTGGCAGTATTGCTGCTGAGGATGTGCGCCTCATCCATTGCTGGTAGGAGCATAAATTGGCAAAACCACCTTGGAAAAGTTGTTTGGCAATTCTGCCATTCAGAACATGCTTCTTTCCAGTGGCAGTTCCACTTCTGGACATTTATGTCTATCAGAAGATAGGCACAAGAATGTTCACTGTGGCTTTATTTGTAATAGCTAACCTTGGAAACAATCTAAATATCCATCTACAGAATGATGAGTAAATAAATTGTGATATTTACCCAATGGAATACTACACAGCATTGAAGAGAAATGAATTACCAATACATGCCAGAACATGATCTCAGAGACATGTTGTTGAGTGAAAGAAGCCAGCACAGAGTACGTACTGTCTGTCTTCACTAAAGAAGTTTAAAACCAGGCAGAACTCATCTGTGGTGGTAGAGATCGGCATAGGGATTATTTTGGGGGAATTGCTGCTGGGAGTGGGCATGAGGGAACCCTTTGGAAATGTTCTATATCTTGACCTGGGTGGTGGACAAAACCAGGCAGAACTCATCTGTGGTGGTAGAGATCGGCATAGGGATTATTTTGGGGGAATTGCTGGGAGTGGGCATGAGGGAACCCTTTGGAAATGTTCTATATCTTGACCTGGGTGGTGGAAGTTGGGGTTTATATATATGTAAAAATTTGAGTCGTGCACTTAAGATGTGTATACTTGATGTAAGTTATCACTCAGAAATATAAAGCAAATATAAAACGTTATGATTACAGTGTTACATTGTATATTTGAAAGCAGACCGCTCTCTGGGGCAGACGATGACACTGGGTGCTCTGGCATGTGATGCTGGTCCCGAGTCCGCCCCGGGCACTTGCCGTGTGCAGTTGTTCCTCATGGATTTTAAGGCCTTTACTTTCAGCTTCCTGAAAGTCAGCCCTCAGTAGTTGTGACTCTCCTGTTGCCTTTCCAGTTGAAATGCCTCTTTGACTGGGTGGGCAGGCCTTTGGAAGGGCTGTGCCTAGTGCCCTTCACTGCTTCATGTCTCCTGCTTCTTCCAGATAAACAGTCTAACAGTGCTTCCTTGGAGACCCTGTTAGCACTTCTTCAAGCAGAAGGGGCCAAGATTGAGGAAGACACAGAGGTAAAGCCAGCCAGCCTTGGCAGAACGTCCTAAGGCACAGTTTCTTGGGTCTAGGGTTACTCTGGGCACTTCCTCCAGGGACAGTGAGTGCCACACCTCCACACCCAGGAGATGGCGTCTCCCAGGTGTGCAGGCTGCATGTGAGCTGGGCGGCCTGGCTTATGGCCTGGGGAAAGTGCCAGGCAGGTCCAGGGAGCAGCAGGGTGGTCAAGTGCAGGCCCAAGTGAGCACCAAATCATTGCTGACCCCATAGGTGCCACAGCTGAGCTGCCGTCAGCTGTGGGCTGTGAGTCAGCTCGTGGCTACGGAGCCTTTCAGACACAGCCAGCTGAATACTTGAGGCTTGAGCCTCATCGGGCAATAAGGAAATGAGTCAGGGGTGAACATTGCATGGTTGGAGCAAGTCACAAGTCACGGTTCGTGGTGTGTTGCCAAGATCAGGCCACAGTGGTCTGATTAGCCATTAGGCTTTGGTGGGGTCCTGTTGGGCATGAGCAAGTTTGTACCCTGTTGACCCCATCCAGAGAGCATCTGTCAGTCGGCTTGTGGCCAGGGTAAAGCAAGGAGGCGTTGGACTCCAGCTGGCTTAATGAGAGAGGCCTGGATCTGGGTCAGTGGTCATCTCTATAGGCAAGGAAACCCAGTAGCTTGGGGCTACCAAGGCACCCCTTCATCTTAAGGCTGACTCTCTTGAGGCTTGCTGCCTGTCTACACTGTGGTTAGAGAAGATGGGGTGTGCAGCAGGACTGCCTACCTCTCCTTCTGGTGGCTCTGCCTGGCGGCAGCTCCTGCCAAGGTCAGCCCAAGCCCACACACACCTCCAGGGTCTGCAGCACTGAGTGGGGGCAGAAACATAGGCACCTCAGGGTAATTACCAGGAGAAGGGGGCGAGTGCTGGAAGGAAGCTAGAGTGTTGTCCCTCCTTGTGCCATGAAAAGAGCTTTGTTCTCTCACTGCTGGCCTGTCCCTATAACTAGGTTTCTCCTGCCTCTTTCAGAACATGGCAGAGAAGTTTCTGGATGGAGAACTGCCTCTGGACTCCTTCATTGATGTCTATCAGAGCAAACGGAAACTGGCCCACATGCGAAGAGTGAAAATCGAGAAGCTCCAGGAGGTGGTGCTGAAGGGGCAGAGACTCTTGCAGGCCCCAGCCCCGCTGCCGCCTAGGGTGCCTGAGCCACTGCCTGCTGCGCCCCTACCCTACCCCACCACAGAGGCCAGTGGGCCCCCCTCTGTCGTGCCTCGGCGCATCCCCCCACCACCACCCCCAGTGCCTGCAGGACGCTTAGCCACCCCTTTTACTGCTGCCATGGGCTCAGGACAGGCCATTCCCTACCCAGGATTGCAGTGCCCGCCCCTGCCCCCCCGCATGGGCCTCCCCACTCAGCAAGGATTCTCTGCGCAGTTTGTGTCGCCGTACCCACCAGCTCTGCCCCAGAGACCCCCACCCCGGCTGCCTCCGCACCAGCCAGGCTTCATCCTCCAGTGAGCACCAGCGCCCACTGTTCTGGGAGACTCGCTCTGTTGGATGTGCCAGCTCCTGCACGCAGGAGGCTGCTGTGCCGGGGCTCTGGCGCCCTGGCCAGCATGTCCATGTGGTTTAGAACTGTAGGTCAGTGGTGAGTAGACATAGAAACTCAGATTTCATGCACCGAGGCGGTGTGTGTGCACCAGGTCTCAGCCTGGCCTCCCATGCATCACGCCAGTTGCATTCTTGATATGATTTCTAAGTATCGTAGTGTTGACAAACTTTTGTGTTTCAGAAGATAAAAGGCCTCTCCCCTGTTCCTGTTTAGAATCGTGGTCCTCCCATTGCAGCTTTATTTAATAAGCATGGTTAGTTACATCTGTTTCATTTTCAAGACAGTTCTTGGCCATCGGCCACTACTGCCCTGGTGAGGGATGGTTGGTGTCCACCACCTGAAGGGTGTGCCATGGCAGGGCTGTGTCGCGGCTGTGTTGCTCACTGAATCTGGGGCAGGTTGTCACAGTCTCCCCTCCCCCAACCTGGCTGCTTCACATGCCTCAGAGTCACAAGGAAAGTTTGCACTTGGCCCCCTGCCACGTCCGCGGCTGTGTTGCTCACTGAATCTGGGGCAGGTTGTCACAGTCTCCCCTCCCCCAGCCTGGCTGCTTCACATGCCTCAGAGTCACAAGGAAAGTTTGCACTTGGCCCCCTGCCACGTCGAGGCCAGGAGAGTTGCAGTGCGGGCATGAGGAGACCAGTGTGAGCTGGTCCTGCCACACAGCCTGTGTCCCCAGCTCCTGCTCTCCCTCCTTCGAGCTGGCCCTGAGGGTTTCTATGAAGAAATACTCCTCCAATATTTTTACTACATGTGGAATTTTCCTGTTTTATATTGGGAAAGAAAACATTTTTGACACTCAAGATCATTCAGGGAAACTTTATAAAGTGCAAATATTGTTCTGGGCAGATTGAAATGCAGCTAAAGTGAATGCAGTTTCCTTTCGTGCAAGCAGTGCATGATCACACCTGCAGGCAGCCGTGCTGTGCCTTAGCTTCACCTGGTGCCAGGACTCTGATGCCCGCGAGGGGCCAGCCAGGGCTCTCCTGTGGGGTTCTGGGCTGGGCAGGGCTCCCGGCTGCCCAGCATTCCTGGAAGGGCTTGTCCGAGTTCATTGCTTTGTTAATAGATGGAAGAGAAGTCCGGCCACCTTGAACCAGGATACTCTTAGCCAATATTTTCTGCCTCCTACTGGCTGGTGGATGGGCCCTAGGGTGGGTGGGCCCAGGGTTGGACAGGGTTTGAAGAAAGCCACCCCACAGGTGGGGGCAGGGGGCACCGCCTCTTCCTTCCTCTCTGGAATCTCATCTGTGTGCCACGTGTGCTGAATTCCTTGCCCACTGAGGGGGTGTAGCCCTACTCACCTGTTGACAGAAAAGGGCTATGTGTTCACGGGTGGAACTTCCAGCCCCACCCTCACCCTGACACCTGCGTCAGGTGGTCAGGGCCTGACCCATGACCAGCTGCCAGCTGGCTGCCGCCTAGGGTGACAAAATCAAGGCAGATCTGAGACACAGGGTCTGTCCCAGTGAGCCACCTGAGAGGCCACCAACCTTTGTCCTCAATTACTGTACACTTCTAGACTTGAACTCTACTGTGTTGTAACTGTTTTTTTTAAAGAAACAAAGCTGTCTATGCTGATCCATTGCCATGCCAATCAGGTGGGCTTGCCATGTTCTGTGAATCTCAAGTGCGCGGTGCCACCCACTCTGTATACCTCTGCTGCCAGCTGCTGTTGTGGGTGCCCACAGCCTGGCAGCGGGCCACAGCCAAACGTGAGCTTGGTGTTGATATTGTGAGGGGCCGCCAGGCAGGCCTCGCCATTGCTGTCCAGGGCCACATCTGGCGCTGTGGTTGTAAAGCTGTAGGACCCTTTTTAATAAATAGACAATTATTAATAACAGTCCTGACTTATTTACCTGAGGACGTTCATGATGTGTTTGGTTCTAGAGTGCCAGTGGTCACAGTTTCAGCAGGAAGCTGGTGCCTTGAAGTTAAAAACAAAAGCCACCTGAGACTGAAGGCTCTGCCTGTCGAGGATCCCTGGCACCAACAGCAGGGCCTTTTGTCCTCGTTTTTTTTTTTTAGTTTTAAGTCTTTTTTACTGACCGGCAACGGGATCCAACCCTCGGTGTCGCGCCCGCACCGCGCTCAGCCAGTGAGAGGGAACCGGTCTCCACATGGGATCCGAACCCTCAGCGGGAGCGCCGCTGCACTCCCAAGCGGCGCACTTCTCCAGTGCGCCACCAGGCCGGCCCTGTCCTCGTTTTTATAAATGTCTCATAAACAGCACTAACAGGCGGAAAAAAGCATGTTCCTCGTGTGTGTAAGAAAATGCATCTTCAGGATCGCAGCCACTGTGCCGGGTGGGGGTCCAGGGTGGTCTCAGGGCTTAGGCTGTCTCTGGCCTCTGTCCAGTCTCACCACTATGCTGTACAATGGACGGAACTCTAGCTAGGACGCTCTCTTGTGTTTTCAAATAGTAGACCTGACATTTTGCTTTGGGGACTTGCTGGCAGGTATCTCCAGGGGGCGCAGTGGGGTGCTGCTTCCCTCTTGAGGATGGGTGGGTGGGGGGTGCCCTGTCCGCCCTGCCTTCTGTGCAGAGTTCATGCCAGTGCCCTTATATGCCCGCCGCCATGACTGAGCTGCGTCTGGACCGCGATGCACCTGCGAGGGCCTGGAACTGGGAGTGCAGCCTTGGGCAAGCTCACACGTTGCTGTCTCTAAGCAGGATGCTGTTCCCTGCATGTCACTGTCCTATGAGGACATGAAGGAGATACTTCTGTGGTTTTGCTGTCAGGAAGAGGGGAGCTTTTCCTGAGAAATCAATTTGCCTTTTTTTTTTTGTCCTTTTGAGACTGGCCGCATCGTGCTCAGCCAGTGAGCGCACCGGTCATCCCTATATAGGATCCGAACCCGCAGCGGGAGCGCTGCTGCTCTCCCAGTGCCGCACTCTCCCAAGTGCGCCGCGGGCCCGGCCCCCCTTTTTTTTTTTTTTTAAACAAAGAATTCTTGTTTCAGTTTTTTTCCCAGTGGTTGTTAGGAAGCTTATAGCCAAATTTGTAGTCCACCCCCAGTAAGGATGCTGGAGTTCAGTGAGTTTCATGGCTCCTCATGACCTTGGTTCGAGATCCTCTCCTCCCTCTCTGTGGGCCCATTTGCTCATAAGGACCAGGGAGGGACAGTGACCTGAGAGTGAGTGGTAGGTGGGGGTACCAAGACCAGACCTTGATGCTTCTGACTTCTGGCCCAGCACACTTGAGGTGAAGTCTCCAGGTAAAAGTTTGATTATTGGGGACTTATGAATATCAGATTGTTTCTTTGAATTGGTTAAGTGTAGTCACCTCAGGCCAGTTTTCACCAGTATGTATTTGGCAGGGAATTATTTAAAGTGTTTTCTGTTACAACAGCAAAGTCAAGGGTTCAGATCTCCATGTAGGCCAGCTGCCAAAAATAAATGTTTCCTAAAGCTTTTTTGCCTTACAGACAAGAACCAGATATGGGCCGCATCTTAGTAGCCCTCACGTTATGGGGATTACAGTTTGCAAAGCACTTTCACATGCAGGATCCCACCCGCCCCTTACAACCACCCTGGTGTACAGGCCCAAGCCAGGGGGGCCCACTAATCCTTTAGGAAACTCCGGCCTGAGGAGGTGGGAGCCAGGAGGTCCAGCTGTCCAATTTGACTTTCCTCTCCCATGACCGGCACTCTTCTTTTCCATAAGTGCTGGGGTGCTGTGCTGCTGTGCAGGGAGGTAAGACAAGTCCACCTGCCCTTCCCCCTGGAATGTGCTCCTGGGGGAAGTGGGGGGGGACAGAGGCAGTGGTGCTCTAAGTTCTAATAAATATAAAGGCCATATGTGGCTTCTGTGGTCAGGTCCAGACTAGCTGGGCATTAGGGCCCCCACCAACAGCTCAGACCTGGAAATCGTCACCTGCAACCAATCAGCAGCCACCCCTCCCTTGTCCACAGATGCATGGTCCCAGAAGTGGCTTGGAAGACAGCAACTGAAGGGGGCCCCAGGGAGGTTATGGGGCATCCAGCCTGGGAACAGAGGTGGCCTTGGGGTGGCAGCCACTGACTCTCAGCCTTCTGTGTGAAAGGAGGGCTCTGAGGTACATAAATCTTTAGAGAAGCTGGGCGTTGCCCAGCGGAGCAGCAGCAGCTCTAAGCGAGGTTGTCTGCAGCCAGAGCGCTCTAGTGTTATCTGCAGAAACAGGGGTTCCCTACCCTGAAGAGGGATCATGCATCTCTGGAGAAATGAAGAGCCAGGTGCAGCCCCTCTGGGGCGTGACAACAGTCAAAGTGCGTTTTATTGCCCAGAGAATACCTCAACACAAGAAATACATAAAGCACAGGAGCTGGCTCCTGCCCATTCCCAGACCTTGGCCCCTATCTGTAGCCTTCCCAGGGCAAAGGGCTAAGGAGGGGGCTGGGAGGCATATAGGGCTGAAGCAGGAGGAACAGGGGATGGAGCTGGGGGGTACGGCCCGTGCTCCTCCAGCCCAGCTGCTGGATCCACCCTCCCAGTCTGGTCCCACCTCTCGGGCCACTCAGGCTCAAAGACAAAATTCATTCAGATCTGACCAGCAGGCCACCCCTCCCTGAGGGCCTGAGGGGGCTTCCTGATCCCCCAGAAGGCAGACAGGCAGCTCCTGGTTTCTGGGCTTATTTCTGGCCAAACTGGAGGGCCTAGTTCAGGAAGGCTGGAACCCACCCTTAAAGGTAAATGATGGGAAAGTGGCCAGAATGGGCCTCCAGGGCAGGGGCAGCAAGATCCAGGGAATGGAAAACAGGAAATGGGCGGGTGGCTGCAGATTCCAGCTGGCAATGGGAACTCCAGGAGCAAGGGCGGCACCTGGGTTGGGTTCCGTCGGTGCGGCAGCAGCCTCTGCTCACTTCTTTGTCTTGATCCCCAGACAGTGGTCACCTCCAGCATCTGACCTCCTCTTGGAGCTCCCAGCACGGAAGCCCTAGCACCAGGCCCAAGAAGAAAGGGACAATACTCCCCACCCTGCCCTAGAGCGGCAGGCCACATAGCCTGTGATGGGCATGCACTTGGCCTCATGGGATCAGTGCCCCAAGAAAGCCACCCTTGTCCCCACAGCCCGCATGGACCATGTTTTTATTCGTCTACAACAGCAGGCTGAGTCCAGAAAGCAGAAGAGGCCCCTCAAATGGCCCTGTTTCCCAGTGTGCTGACCATAAACTTAGGAGGAAAAGCTCTTAACTTGGAACATTGAAACTGTTCCATGTATTTCCTGAAGAGAGTGGCTCAGGCCTGTTGGGTTCTGGCTGCTCTCGGAAGTTACTATTGCAGATAAATAGACTCAACGTCCAGAAGAACCATCCCGTATGGCCCAGGCCCCATCAGGATCGGCCAGGAGCCTTAGGGACACTGATCCAGGCAGTGGGGCAGGGGACTTGGGCACCGGGTGCAGGGCTGGGCCCTTGGAGGCCCCTAGGCCCTGTCAGGGCAGCCACATGAGGCCTAGGCCCGCCCATCAGCTGCCCTGCTGGACCCTCCGGGGCCTAGTAGTTCACAAGTTGAGCCGGGTAGATGCCATCCTTTTTGTCAAGCTGCAGGGATTGAAGGTGAGGTGCTCAGTGGATGTGGACAGGAGCATATGGCACAGCCCAGGTGCCTCCCTCCCTTAAGTGCCGGCAGCGTTGCTGACCCTGCTAGGCTCTCAGGGATCTCAAGCTTTCCCAGGGGTACATGCCCCCAGACCCACAAGCAGAGGCTGGGGTCTGCCGCCCCTCCCGGCCCCCTCCCCATCCCGGTGATGACGCCTGGCACCTGGTGGTCCTGCCTGGGGGCCATGCTAGGCTTCTGGGCCAGGGGTGGCTTCTTGGTGGTGCCACTTCGGGGGGCAGCACTGGGCCGGCTGGGCTTCTCCTCACCGGGCGTCGCTGCTGTCCCCGCCACCCCTGCCAACACATAGTGCTGCTTCCGCAGCTCCCCAAGCCGCATACGCTCCGCCTCCAGTGTCTTCTCCAGCTCTAGGACATGCACCTGCAAACCACAGAGCCCACTTGGCATGTCCTGTGTCTCCCCAGGTCCCTCCCCACCCTCCTGGGGCCCAGCTGAAGAAGGGACCAGCTGGGCGTCCATGGGCACCTACCTGGGTCTCCATCTCCTGTTTCTTCAGCTTGATAAGGGACAGGCCTGAGAAGTCCATAGTGTCTGTGGCCAAAGAGCAAGGGTAAGTGTCTGGGCAGCCACTCTCACCTGGCCCTGGGAAGCCGGCAGTTCCCTTGTACACCAGGCACTTGCCTCTGTCTTCGACCTGCTCTTGGCCTGACTTGGTGGAGGCCACCACATTGGCAGCCATTTCATTGACAGTGCGGGAGCATTCCTGCAGGCGACTCAGGTGGGGACTGTGCTTGTCGGCTTTCACCTAGGGGGGCAGTCAGGTGGGCCTGTGGTCTCCTAGCCCAGGGCAACTGTGGTAGACCCCAAGGCCAGGCCAGTCCAAGCAGAGAGACTTACCTTGGAGGCTGCCACCAGCTGGGCCGTGCTGGCTGCAATCTCGTGGGAGCAGACGATGAGCTCCTCATACTTGCCTGTGTGTAGCACCACCTTGTCAGCCGACTCCCTGGGGGGACAGGGCCAGTCATGGCCTGGGCTTGTGACTCCAGGGACAGCCACAGCCACCCCACAGCCCCTACTCCCAGACCCTTAGCACCATGCACCCTTCCACCCAACTGCTCCCTGTTGGCAGCAAGCAAACAGACCCCTGCCCACCTCCACCCCCACCTGGGCGACATACACCAGCTGTGTGGCTCCCCAGCCCACTGCCTTGGAGGCTGAGATGAGGCCTTCAGTCCACCTGGAGTTCTTGGCATAAAATTCCTGTTGCGTAGCTGCCCCCTAGTGGCGACAGGAAAACAGGGCAGGACGGGTTAGTCAAGGAAATCACAGATGGAAATGGATCCTCACCCAGCTTTCTCCCCTCACCCTGGCCACAGGGCACATCCCAAAGGCCGCCCTAAAGCCTCCCTGGCATGGGGGCTGGAAACCATAGGGGGATTTAGCTGTGAGCTCCTTGTGTGTGTCTGTGTGTGTGGTAGGGAGGTGTCTCATCACCCTGCACACTTCAGGAGTCTCATGCCCAAAGGGGCTGGAGGCTCTGGGGTCATGCTCTCTGCAGGGATCTGCCCCTCGCTGGCCCAGCCAGGGCGGTGCTGTTAGACCACAGCCCACCAGCTCACCCTGCCGCTCTCCACAATTTCCTTCTGCAGGCTGGTGGACGTCATCACCAGGAGCCGGATGGCCTACCAAGACCAAGTTGCATGTCATTCTTGGGGTGGCCATCCAGGTACAAAGCCCGCCCTGGGGCCGCAGCCACCCACTCACCTTCATCAGATCTGTGCAGGAGTTGAGGATCCTGGGGAGGAGCGGGAGGAGGTGGAGGAAGAGAGAAGGGAGAGGTGGTTGGCTTGCCTGGAGTGTGGCCCACATGACACCAGGCAGGGCCTGGCCATAGCAGGGGGTGGGGCTTGATGTGTGCTTTGCTGGCTCCCAGTGCCTCCTTTCTGGAGGGCTGAGCAGCTGGGAGGGCAGAGCTCTGGACCTGGGGGGCAGAAATGAGGCTCACCTCTCATTCACCTCCAGCTTCACCCCCGAGCTGGCATGGCGGGCCTGGTTCATCATATCCTGCACCCAACAACAGAGGCATGAGCCAGCTACAAGCAGGGCAGTGTAGGAGGAAGAGGTCCCCAGTGCCCACAGTCCTGGGGTCAGGGCAAGAATGCCAGGGCTTCCTCTTGCCCTCCCTGCTCTGTCCCCTGCCCAGTGCAACCCAGCTGGGGTCACCCGCCCCCAAGGTCCTGCAGGAATCCGGGGAGTCCTAGCCCCCATCCTTGCCTCAATCCTCCGCACAGCATCTTCAATGGCTGCAGACGTGGCCGCCATCTCCTTGTCCACCATGGCCCCCAGCTCCTCCTGCCGCACGTCCAGGCTTTTGGGCTTCAGCTCCTATGGGGGACAGATGTGGGATGGGGTGATTCAATCCTATGTAGTCAGGCTAGTTAGTTAGCACAGTTGATTAGAACACGTGTTATAACACCAAGGTCAAGAGTTTGGATCCCTGTACTGGCCAGCTGACAAAAAAAAAAAATCCCATCAAGTCCCTATCCTGTTCTCTCTTTAGCCTCACCTGGAGAGGGGAGTAGAAGTCAGAGGCTCAAGCCTCCTCTACATACTGGGCACCTCACCTGGGCCAGCTGTAGGATGCTCCACAGTGGGGTCCGCATCTCGCTGGGCTGTGCCTGAGGCACAGCCTGTCGGTCCTGCAGCTGCCCCACGAGCTCCAGTGCACGGGTCCCACACTCCCTGCAGGTGTCAATCAGGCCTGGGTGGGAGAGGACTGTGAGTGAAGCCACTGCCTGAGAACCCCGACAAAGACCCCGCATGAAGGCCCTGGGCCTGATGCAAGGACCTGTCTGCAGGCCCCTCTCCCAATCTACCATGGAGATGGGAGGTGAGGCGGCCAGATCCCGCTGCCCTAGACCCACTTACGGTCAGCGGGATCGGTGGGGGCCAGATGCGAGGTGGCGCCACCGTTGACAATAGTGTCAGCAGCCAGGTGGGAGAACCGGGTCAGGGCTGCCACTAGGGCGGAAGCGTCTGTGGGGGAGAACAGTGAGAACCAGAGCTCGGCCATGTCCCCGGCAGGCTGTCTGCCTCATCCTCCTAGCAAGCCCAAGACGAAGATGAGGAAGAAGGAAACCAGGACCTGTGTGACCCCAAGCCTCTTGCTCCCCCGCCCCCTGCAGACACGTGGTGATTACAGCCCCAGTGGCACAAACCTGTTTGCCTATAAGGTAGGGCAGGGCCGGGTGTCTGGGTGGGGTTGGACAGAGAGCATCTACTCAGCTTTTTGGAGAGGTACATGTCATGCAGAAAACCTCTCGGAAAGGCAGGAAGCAGCCACGGGGCTGGAATTGGACAACGCCTGGGATTCTGCCCTGCCCACCATGCTCCTGGCTGCACTCACCTGCAGGGGAGGCCAGGTACTGGGCGTGGCCCTTCTCCAGGGCATTCACGGTGTCCAAGGCAGCCTGGGCTCTGCTCACCAGGTAGTCTGCAAGCACAAGGGGACTGTGAGGCCCCAGATTCTTGCCGCCAGCTCCTCAGGGCTGGTGGACAAGGAGACGTATGTGGGTGGTTGGTGGAGGTGGCCCTCCCAGGCAGGGGAGGGAGGTGATCCCGAGCACGCACCTGGGGAGCTGGTGCAGCGCAGGTGCAGGGGGTCATCCAGCTTGCTCACGGCGTCCTGCAGGATGCCTTCAGCCTCAGCAGCGGCACCCCGCAACACCGCAAACTGCTCATCCAGCAGCCTCTGCCGCAGCCCCTGTTCCTGGGACTCCTGATGTGAGCGGGAGAGGAAGCTCAGAGACCCCTCCCCAAGGCCCGGGGACTGCCCAGCCCCAGGGTCCCAGCTGAGTCCCTGTGAAGGGGCTGCCCTTGATGGGAGGTGGGTGGAGATTTCTAAAGACAGGCCTTACTCCATCCCCCCAGGGCTCAGGCTGCTCCCTCTCAAGAGGAAGGAGAACAGTTGAGTGACAAAAAGACAACCTAATTTAAAAATGGGCAAAAGATCTGAATAGACTTTTCTCCAAAGATACACAGATGACCAATGAGCACATGCAGAAATGCTCAACGTCACTCACTATTAGGGAAATGCAATCAAAACCACAATGAGAAACCACTTCAACCCACTAGGATGGCTACAATAAAAGGCAAACAGACGAGTGTTGACAAGGATGTGGAGGAACTGGAACCCTCCTGCATTGCTGGTGGGAGCGTAAAATGGTGCAGCTGGTGCAGACAACAGTTCGGTGGTTCCTCAAAAAGTTAAACAGTGTTACCATATAACAGCAATTCCACACCTAGGCATATATCCAAGAGAGATGAAAACGTATGGCCACACAAAAAACCTGCACATGAATGTTCACAGCAGCATTATTCACAATGGCCAAAAGTGAAAACACCCCAAATGTCCAACTGATAAATGGACAAACACAATGTGGCATATCCAGGCAACGGAACATCATTCAGCCAAAAAAATGAATGCAGCACCGATACATTCTACAGCGTGGATGAATGCTGAAAACATGATGATAAGCCAAAGAAGCCAAGCACGATTCCATCACACAACGTGTCTCCAGGATAGGCAAATCCTTAGACACAGAGCGGTTGCCAGGGACTGGGGAGGGGGGCAGGTAGGAGGACCAGATTAATTGGTAATTGGGTCAGGGGCTCCGGGAGTGGTGGATGGGCTCGTGCAGTATGAGGGATGCACGACTCTGAACACGCTAAGAACACAGGTCCGCACATGCCACGAACGCAGGCTCGCACACGCTTAACGGGTGGGCTGCCCTGGCACTCGAGCGCCCGCACCTTCTCCGCCAGCTGCCCCTGCAGCTCGCCCCTCTCCTGGGCGCCGCGCCGCTGCTCCTGGCTGAGCGCTGCCTCCTTCTCGCGCAGCAGGCCCTGGGCCACCAGCAGGTCGGCCTCGCGCTGCCTCACAGCCCCACTCAGCGCCTCCTTCTCGGTGCTCAGCACATCCAGCCGCGAGCTCAGCTCCGACCCGCTCTGCGAACAGGGGCTCGTGAGCGGGGCTTCCTGGGCCCGCCGCCCTCGCCCCCCAAGTTCACAGACAACGCCCCACGGGTTATCAGCCCCCTCCCAGCCATGAGCCTGAGAACTTTCGGAGGCAAGGCTCAGGGCTGTCTCCTGTGTCTCCCCGGGGTCGGGGTTAGAGCTGCATCCCGGGCTCGCTGGGAACCCCCAAACCCAGGGGCATGTGGGTGGAGCCCAGTTCATAGAAAAGAGGATCCGGCCTGAGCCCAGGACCCCGCAACAGCACCTGCTCTGTGCGGCTCAGGGCCTCCTGCGTGCGCGCCAGCTCCCCGGCCTTGGCCTCCAGCTCCCGCTTGAGCTTCTCCAGCTGGTCGCTCTGCTCCTCCAGCTGGACGGGACAGCGTGTCATTGGGGCAGGGGGTGGGGCTGGGGAGGCGCGGGCGCTGCACGCGGGCCGTACCTTCATCTCGGACTCGCGCTTCACCTGCTCCATCTGGAAGGCCAGCTGCTCCTTCACTCGCGCCACTTCCTCCTGGCTCTGCTGCGTCACCGTCAGCTGCTTGGCCGTGTCTGCGTTCTGCAGGGGCAGGGGGACAGGCTCACGCTCTGCGGCTGGGCCACGCCAGCGCGGGGCCGGGGCGGGGGCAGCCCACCTTCCTGAGCAGCTCGGCGTGCGCGTTGACGAGCTCG